CTCTGTTCTATCAGATAGACCTTTGCTCCTTCTGCTTCAAAAGTTTAAAACACTCCAGGAATTTTGGACATCACACTAGGTCTGTATCTCAGCCAATAGGCTGATCCCTTCCTCTCCTATTAGCACAGTTTAGCTTTGCTGCACTTAAATAATAACTGTAGTCAGCTGAAACACACTTGCAAAAACGTATTTCATGTATAATGTATTTTGGCAAATGGCAGTGAGCCCTTTATTTTCCAGTCTCAGCTTCCCATCGGTAACTGCCATCCCCACTTTCTCCAAATACTCTCTCTCCTTTCCAAACAGGGGTTTCAGTACTGCAAAACCACAGCTTTTCCCTGATTTAGTGACCCCCTTGCTACGCAAAGCTGTAATTTCTTGCTAGTCTAATTGATCCTTTTGTTTATATTACAGATGTGTAAGTTTACATATCTTCTAATCTCTCCTTTGTATTATAGCAACATAAATCTGTGGTTAATACTTCATTAATTTCCTGAAGGAGGCAACTTCCAGCATGGATATGGGAAAGCTGATGACCCCACTGCTGATGAGGGCTGTTTGAGCAATTGGTTTCATTGCTTTTGCAATAAAGCTAAACAAAGCAAAATATATGCGTCTAAAACCATGTATAATGCTTGAGTAGAACAAAAAATACTCCTTATTCCTTGGTTTTCCCCACTGAAACAAAAGAAAGGATGGATTGCTTTGTTCTATGTGATACAAAAATAAATGCTTTCTCTTGAACACGTGTATACGCAGAAAAAAAAAAAAAAAAGTGAACGGCTAAATTTATAAAACTGAGTGGGGAGAGGGAAGCAGAATCCTATTTTGTGCAAGAGCAAAGACTAATGCAAAAGAGGAAAGAGAATGTGGATTAATTCCCTGACAGGGAAGATTTAAACTGACATTTCATATCTCCTGCATAATGCCCTGACTACCAGACTATTTGGTGTTTTAGGTTGCCACGTTCCTCATGCCTCCTACTGATCTTATTCCACCTGCTTTAAATATTTACTCATACCAGGACTGAGGCACTGTGTTCTCATTTTCCAGGTAAAAGTCCTAACGACCGTGCTGGTGAGTCTTTCTCATCAAAGCTACCCCAGCAGCTAACAAACTACTCTATATTAACTGAAATCTCATCATCACGTAGTCTGAAGGACTCTCAGCCATTTAACTTTCCAGTGTCCAGGTGGCTGGGAAATATTTTTAAGAGGCTCATCCACACTCTGGGAGATACTGTACTCACATTGGTTCCCCTGTCCTATCAATCTGCTACCTAGAAGAGCGCAAAAATCAAAACCTCCAACAATCTCTCTCCAACGAACCCTCTTCTGAAAACAAAATAAAACAAGTATGTGAAAGCTAATCAGTGAATTCAGCTCAGGCTGTCTTGTCATCTGGGGAACGGCCAGAGCTGTATTTTTCTTCCTCCTTACCAACTGCAAAGGTTGGTTCCTTCAGCTCTCCCACTTTCCATACTACAAAACCAAAAAGCCAGTCCCGAAGCACTTTCTGCAGGTCAGCCTCCAAGGAGGTAAACACATGTTTTACCTGCAAGATGCCTGTCCTGAGTTATTCTACAGTTACTCTGTGGCATGCGGTTACAGTCCTTCTCAGATAGCTCCCGATTGGAGGTAAGGGGCATAGCATAGTCCTCTGCAAGAGCAGCTGCTCTGGTGCTGCTGAGCCTCTACTGACATCAGCTCTGGCTCAAAGAGCCTCCATGCCCTGCCATGAAAAGCAGATTTTACAGCAGTTTTCATCCTGCCTTTTGTCCTAATAAGGGAATAAAGCCCTTCTGGTAATCACATCAGTCGGAGCCCCTGCATGGAAATGTATGGGTGTGCACTAAAGACGGTGCCCCTCGTTTAGCAAATTATTCTGCATAGCTTTTCTCTGTGCTGTTTCACCAGCAACAAAGGGAAAGCAGGTATGGATGCAGATGCAGGCTGCCTGAAACCTTCTTTTTATGGGGATGTAAGGCAACTTCATATATCATGCAGCTGGGCCTTTTCCATATTAGTAACACAGGACTCCCAGTACTTACACTGCTTAGGAAAACAGAAATGGGCCTAAATCCTAGATCCAGATGTGAATTTGGCAAATAGCTCCTTTACAATGGGGCAACGAAATATCTCCGATCCGAACACTTTTACATTTTGAGATGTTTGAAATCCACTTTGCACCCATAGCAATTCATTAATCATATCTTTTAAATGTTTAAACTTCAGCTAGAACGTAAAATCAACATTTAAGGTTCTTGACAATTTCTCTTGAAATTGGCATCGCATAAAGTTCCCTTCATGAAATAGAGTGTCTCAAAGACATTTTGTTGAGTAATTGCTGCCCTCCTCTTTTTCTGCCCTCCCCTCTTTATTTTACTTTAAAACAGATAAAGAAAGGTAGGGCAAAAAGTGAGTATTACTGACACAAATGAATTCTGCTGAATTTCATTTCCATTATATTTTTACATGACTAGGAGCTCTTTTGGCAGCCTCCCACAAGAGACATAATAAATTACTTTTGTACCAGTAGAGGAATTCATTTTCTCTGTTTCATTTAGCAACAACATGGCAGTGAATTTCAGACAAGAGTTTCTAAAACGTCATCATATTTTTTCTGTCTAATGTTGATTTGGCATTTTTCCCTTTCTCGCAGAAGGGCCAGAGAAGAAAAAACAGAGTAAGGCAACAACAAGTTGCCATGTCAGTTGTGCAATGTGCAGGTAATGGACAAGTACACTCTCTGAACAGGTGCCCAGGTTACAGCAACATCACCCTTCTTGTTAAGGCAACCAAAGATTAGAGAGCCTGGATTCATCCATCCGAGGGCTTTTACCTTCTGACATGGCCTGAAGAAGCTTATTCTCCTCATGCAAAGCCACTGCCTGTGCTAAGAATAGACACGAACCTTCAGGCTATCAATATGTAAGCTCAAACATGGGGGAAAAAAAAAAGGAAAATAGAAGTCCAGTAAAGTATCTGTGCTTCACACACATGATCAGATTAAAGGCTTCCATGTTCTAAAATGCTGCATTCCCTTCCCTCTTGACAGCTTCAATGGGCCTTAAGAGCACCCAGCTCACGGCGTTTTGGCTTACATTCTTCTCCATCCCACTGAATTGCTGATGCTTGAGATACAGCCCACCTCCATTGCTTCCTTTTACAGAATTTTTGCACACAAGAGATATTTTGCAAGTGCTTTGTACATGCAGGCCACATGTACATACATTCCAGGAGAATCATAGTAGAGAAAAAGCTATGACTGTCCTCTCTTAGCCTGATCTGCAGAAAAAACAGGGATGTGCTGGCCCCGGGGAAGCCTTCATGTAAATAAGAGCAGCCTCAGGATTTCTGCAAGTCACTCATAGTTGCTAGCATCTCCCTGCTCATCTTTTGCCTTGGGAACACTCAGCTCTCTCTCCTCTTGCACGCACACAACTCCTCCTACTAAAATCGTATCACAAACTGTATCACTAAAATGATAAAAGAAATATCACTAATATATGGGTGCTGACACACTGTCCTAGAAAAAGAAAACAGACGACAGCCAGCCAAGAAATTGGCAGCATGGGGAAAAGGGGGTCTCTCCATAAGGTCTCTCCTTCCAGAGGAGCGCACAGCTGCACCACCTACAGCCCACACCTCTGAGACTCCGGGTGCATTTTGCCGTTAGTTCTGCCCATTGTATAAATCACACAACATTCCTCAGATCAGTAAGCATCCAAAGGGAAAATCTGGCTGATTTTTTTTTCCCTTTGGAAATATTAGGGGAGAAATTAAAAAATAGTATTCAATGCAGAGAGCACGAAACCCAGCACAGTGCACTTTTTGGTTACTGTTTATCCCTTGCTTTTTGTTTGTTTGGTTTTTTTTTTCTTTTTTTTTCCCCAAGGGATCTGTTTATTTTATTGGACTGTCAGGGTTTTCTCATTGTCAAAGAGGAGCCCTGTTAATAATATCCTTGCCTGACAGCATCAGAACCAAAAACCCAGTGCTTCTGAAACTTGGTGGCCCTGCCAGCCAACAAACAATTGCATCTGCTAAAATTGCTTTCTGTTGTTTCTTTCCCTCTGTACAATGAAACTTTGAATGTCAGCAATTGAACGACTAGATTTAATAGAAACTGGGATGTGGGAGTGCTGGGACATATTGAAAAATACTTATTATAAACAGTGTCTTCTTTTTATTAAAAAAGAGAGAAAGTCACATTAGGAAAGCTTTTGAAATAAATGATGTGGTAGATTGAAGGATATGAAGATCAAAAGGAGTGTGGATATGGGTACGTGTAGCCAAAAGGTTAGGAATTAATCTGTATTAAGGCGTGCAATTTTAACAGTAGTATTTGTTATCAAATGTGATAACTGAGCGAAGAAAGGCAGTCTGAGATGGTATGAGCATGTGACTCAAAACTACTAGAGCTCATGGCTGTCAGAGGCTGAGCACCCAACCCTGGAGGAGCCCTCCGCTAGCAGCGGGCTGATGCACACACACTGCAGTCAGCTGGCATTCTCTGCCTGCTTTCAGCTCGGTCTGAGTCGGAGTGTAGGAATAAAGCTGAGTTTAAACCAAATGGCATTATGCTTCCCTTCAAATAGCAGGACAAACTCTTATCAGAGAGCATTTCAGAAAGAAACGGCATGTGCATAAATGTTTCTTGAAAGGATCAATTGGGTACGGTTTGTTGGTTTTGCTTCAGAGAAAAACCTTTGAGAGGGAAATAAGCAAAACACTTCAATACAAAAGGGCTTGGGCTAAGCCATGCTTAACTTAATCATAAAAATTATATAGATCTTAATTAAGGGGTTTGTAAAGTACTTAAGCTTGTCGATCTGTTTACAGCTATATGTGATATCTTCCGAAAATCTTGTTCTAGTATCAGCTAACAAAAGTGGAAAGTTTATTTAGATTATTGTTCTGCTAGATAAGATAAAAGTTGTGATAACACCGCGCAGTGATCAGCCTGCTTAGCAGTATGGATGCTGCATCAGTACTCACCCCCGAGGCTGCCGGCTGTGTGCTTGGGGAGGCATTTTTGCTACAGTCATCTGAGTTAGTAGAAGACGTGGATGTTGGAGTCATAGGAACTGCAGTAGTACTGTTACCTGAAAGATCAGGGTCCGGCATTAAAAACAAGAATTTTCCAGCCAAGGAAAAAAATTCTAGCATCTCAACTATCTTATTTTTTCATATTTACCAGAGCATGCCTTTGACTTATTTATGTTCTTAGGTTTTCGTTTCCTTGTCTGAATTCCTTCTTTCTTCATAGCAAGCGGTCGGGGAACCTGAAAAGAAAAAATTTCCACACCAGTCTTAGAGCTGTGCTTGTGCTCTAGTGACCAAAAATCAAAACTAGACTATAAGAGTGAAGAGAGATGTTCCAAAAGCCTGTTCAAGTCATTTTTCCAGTCACAACGTAGCAATTCCAAAAAACATTGTATTTTATTTGGGCAAAACCATGAGTTGTTTCAAGGGGAGTTTTATCAGAATAAAGAAGAGGGAAAAGGTTTTTGTTGATGTAGGCTAAACAGCTTTTCCAACACCTCAGTCGGTCCACAGATTAACAGCATCAGTTTAAAGGGAAAAAAAAAGCACTGTTTGGCCATAGGTCATACGACGTTAAACTGGACTGGATGTATCTGATCACTAATTCCTTTTCCCAGTCAGTTGGGGATTATCTTCAGAAGTTTGTTCTGGAAAGCAAGAATGCAAATGAGGGGAAAAATTCTCCTCTCCTTGCAGACCAGCTATGCGAACCAGATCAACACCAGTAAGCTTTTTAGGACAGAAGCTTCACACCATAATCAGCGTGGCATTTGTTCTTATAAGCAGTTCTGCATGTGATACAGGTTTAGAGTATCCAAATTTATGTCTGTAGAGAAAATGATTCAAAAGTCAGCTTTGTGTTTTCTGTATAATCATAGCGATTATACAGAAAACATTGGCTTAAGATGTATTTTCACTTCATGATAATATGAGTTTGGAAAAATACAGTTCAGCCATGTGCTTATTATCATTACAATGTTTAAACCAGTGATAAAATTTACGTTTTTTTCAAAGGCTGGACCACGTACCAACCACTCCTAACGCCCACTTTCTTCAAACACATGTGCTCAGCTTTAACATAACCCAGTGGGTCATCATGGTCTCCAAGTCTCAAACCATATTCCATCACATTCAAGTTGTTTTCTTCCTGGATTATTGCCTACCAAGGCTGAAATCGCATATAGAGTTTTGCTGGCATACCTATGGTTGTAATTACATTTAAAATTTTGCCCGTCCAGACTATGAAAAGCTATCATATTAAATGTCCAGTGTTTTTTTCCCTGTCTGAAATCATGGTGACAAAAAGACCTCTGCCAATTATCCCGAGGCAGTTTCTTCATACATATCTATACAAATTTGCAATGACAAATCCCTGTCATTGCACTGTCAACACCATAACTTGCTAAAAGGAGACAGCCAATTTCCAGTGCCATTTTCAGTCATTTTGTCAATTTTATACACCTCTATCCTTTTTTTTCCTAACTCCATAGTCCAAGACTATTAGAGTCAACAGAAACTTTGCCCTGGCTTTGGGAAGCCAGATGCCACCCACATGCTGTGCCCAAAGCCGCCGCAGGGACAAACCTTCTGCCAGCACTCAACAGAGCCTGGGGGACAGGGCAGCCAGGCGTGAGGGGACACGGTGCACAGGCCAGAGGGAACATGGTACCTAGGCCAAAAGGGACTTTCTTACCCCGTGAAGCTTCATGTAGAGGCCGCATGCGTTGCAGACGGGCTCGCCCTCGGCGTTCCGGCGCCAGAGGGTGGTGGTGGTGGTGTGGCAGTTGGCACAGGACAGGCCGAGTCGCCGCGACGAGGGCTGTGGGCATGGGGAGGCAAACACACGTAAACAGGTGGGCAGGAGCAGATGGTCGGTGTTTTTGCAGTTGACATTCAAAAAGCAGGGATGGTGGGGGGCTTTTTTATAACATTTCTAAAGGATATCCTAGAAGTGACGCAAGATTATCCTCATTTTCAAGGCTGGAAAGATGGTTGGAAGGGCCTGCAAGTCACACTTGGGAATCACTGACTTGGGCCTCCACTGAGACCAGCGGGTTTTTCTCCAGCAGGACAGACCACAACACTGCCGCACCAAACACCTCCCTGCAGTCCCCAGCAATGCCATGATGCCTCCCAGGACGCAAGCAGCAAGCCTGGGCTTAGGCAAGGGAGAGGGGCCGAGGACAGCTTTTAGAGAGTGCAACACATCAAAAAGCATCACTTTGTGGAAAGGCTTCCTTATCATGCTGTGCTATGTTATCGTGTGAAAAACAACGTGTCTCAGGAACAAGTTTTACGGAGGAAGCTTTCCCTCGGCCATCAGAAAAGCTGGTATGGGACAACAAGGTCCACACTGCAAATAAGCCATTTATGGCACTCTTCCGTGGAGTTTGGAGCCAAGATGAGGCAACCCGGTATCAGAAATAACCGCATAACCTGGCGCTTTATGGCTGCAGGCTGTATATCATAAGTGAAGGCAGTCCTCATAAACATGTGAAATGAAGGTGAATGGGTTATAAAAGTTCCTGTAACAAGTGATCTCTTTTACGTTCATCACAAGCAAAGAATTCCAGCTACATCGTAAATCTATTATTTTTCAAAGTATCACATTGTCAAAAAAAATATATTAAAAAAGCTGCGACTGGCTCTGTCTGGCAGCCAAACGAGTTTACGTGGAAAAGTCAGCTTTAGAGAATTGCATTAATCTTATTTTGACTATAAAGCGCCCATAACTGAAATGACTGAGTTGAGGGTACTATGCCCTTCCTCTTGAATCATTTACTGCTGGGTTGTTAGGCACAGCTCGGTCACCTTTGATACCACAGAGCCGCCTGCCACTTGGGAAACACACAGCGATGCTTTCAGCATGGAGAATATTCCAGAGTAATGACCGAGTTTCTTGAATTTGGGCTGTTTCAGTTTCTTTCACGGGAAATTTGTCATTCTAATCTGCCGCTCAGAGCGAGCTCCAGATTTAATAGGATTTGTGCAACTTTGGAGCAGTAATTCATTATTAATTGCACAATAATAACAATTTAAAAAAACAACCAAATATAAGACAGGCTGAAATATATACATATACTTTCTAATCTGAAAAATCCAATTCTCACAAAAGCAGAATTTGTAGTTTCAAATGCATATAAATACGCTGCCCGCTGTGCTCCGCAATTCAGTACGAGTTTCACACGGAACAGGTTATAAAAAAAGTTGGTTGTAACGCATATGTTGTATTTTCTCTCTTCGCAAGCAAAATGCCATTTCACTGCTAAATCCTTCTGTCTGTCGCATGCAGTCTGGTGTAAATCTTCCTTAATTTTATTTCCGTAGCTTTGCTCATTCCTCTATCTAAACAAACGAGAGTTTTGGGGCACGTTTTGAAGCTAAAATGGCTTTTCTGCCGCAGGAATTTTATCAGAAACTTCAGGGAAATCTAAACATGTTTAGCATTTTCAAAACATTTTCCCTTCTCACCTACATATTTCCAATGGCGTGAGCATGCAGCCGCCTCTGATTTATAGCTCTGGCCAGTGTGCTTGGTGCAGAGTGTTGCACAGAGCTATTTCAGAGTTATTTAGCCGAGGTGTCGGGCTGAAATCAGGCTGCTGCCTGACTCTGATTTGGTCTCCTCAGCCCTCTCCCCCCTCGGAAACGGTGAGAAGGGTCGGGAAGAGGTACGAGCCCATCGAAATCTGCACCCAGCCACGGTGCCGCGGGTAGCTGAGCTTCCCACTAAGGAGATAAAACTTCCTGCAGTGTGATTTGGTGCACGGCCGGCTACAAATACACAGGCACCAAGCGGCAAACAGTTCCTGCCCCAGCGCTACATTAGCTTTGTCCCTTTAATCAGAGGTGAGGTCGCTTTGGGAACGGGGACTGTCCGCTCCCTGAGTGTCCGCTTTTTGCCTTCCCCCATTAAAGGCATTAAATTCAGACCATTGTGAAATAAAGGGTGAGTTTAAACACTATGAAAATAGGGACAGACTGGAGCAGCTGGTTTGATTGAAAGGCTCTTGAAGGGTCGATTGCTTTGCTATGCCGTCTCCGTACACAAGGGTCCAACCATCAGCTCGGATTATAGTGGTGTGATTTATTGTGGCTCGCTCCTAACAGCCATTACCAAGGCACGGATTCTTTTTCCCCGCTGACCTCCACCCAGATTTGCTAAACATAATGTGCAGTTCCCACTTGGTAAATTCTCTCCTCACCTATTCAGTGCCAGCCGGACTCATAAACAGGGGCTCTGGTTTGTACTATTTATTTCCCTCCCCCTGGTTTTAGGAAGATATTTTTAGAAAAATTACCACTCATTTCTTAGGAGTCAAACAAAACAAAGGCTATTATTGTTGTTTAAACAATTGCTTTTCTTTGAATTATATACAAAACTTGCTTACGTTCCCAAGGATCGAGCTCTCGGCAAACAAAGCAGGTCTGCAGAAATTCCTAGCGCTCTCAACAAACACTTTCCAAACCCAATTACTTTTTTTTTTTTTTTTTTTTTTTTTTTTCTCCCAACCCTTCTGGAAACTTTGGAAGTAAACCTCCTCACACCGATGAGCTCCACTAATGCAAAATAAACGCCAAACACCTGTGTATGGGCAGAGGGTCCCAAAGAGAGGTCCTTTGCCTGCGCTACCAGCGCGCTGGCCTCTGAACTGGGACACCTCAGTGGCGTCCCTACGTCTCTCGCACCCAACACCCGGCCCGCAGTCCACACTCACCACTCTCTTCTGGGGCTTGATGAGGGGCCGGCTGAGGCCGTTCATTTTGGTGTAGAGCCCGCAGGCGTTGCACAGGTAATTCCCGGTGCCATCCCTCCTCCAAAGCGGGGTCTGGATGGAGCCGCAGTTGACACACTCGCGGCTTTCAGAGAGGTCTTCCAGCAGCTCTGCGGACAGGAGCAGGGCACTGCGATGAGGCACGGCTGAGCCATTCCCCCGCAGGCCCCGAGATTAAATTTTTTAAAATTCCCCCCCACACCACCTAATTTGTTGTTGTTTTCCTTTAATCCCACCAGGCTCCTAGCGCAGCTGCTGCTGCCAAAACGCCCTGCCGAAATGCCTTGCGGCAATGCCCTGCCGTAATGCAAGCCGAAGGCTCCTGCTCTTCGCCCCCAGATCCGAGCCCACCTGCGGGCCCGGGGCGGCTTTGCTCGGTGTCCCCGCAGGGCACGGAGCCGTGCAGCTTTCCGGTGAAAAGCGCCCAGCGAACGGGTACGGCTTCGACCTGAGGGAGCCCGGTCTCCCAGCTACAAAGGGGAACGAACGCTTAGCTTATTTGGTTCAATTCGTCCTCGGCGGGAGAAAGAGGGGGAAATGGAAAAATCGGCAGCGTTGTGCCACAATGTTCCGAAGGCTGCGGAGCGCTGGGAGAGCGCTGAGCACGGCATGGAGCAAAGGAAACGCGATTGTAAAAGCGAACACCTTCCCTCTGCGAATCTCCGTGCTTTATCTATTTTGTGGGGGGGGAAAAAAAAAAAAAAAGAAAAAAAAAAA